AGTGGAAGGACGCAGAGACATCCGGTGCGTGCCAGGGGCAGGAGGAGGACGTGGACGCGAACTACGAGCACTAGTGCTAGCAGGACGGACAGGCGACGCAGGGCGAGACGCAGGCTCACGACGCTCAGTAAGACCGGCAGTAGGACCAGAGTAAGGAGAAGGAGCAGGCAGTGACTGAACAGGCTGCGGACACACTAAAGGAGGGGGAGGACCAGGAGGAGGCGAGAGACCAAGAACCTGCTGAAGGAGCGGAACGAAGTACGGCTGAGGGCGCGCGGCGACTCCAGACACAGCAGGGACAGCACCAGTGCCCCCAGCGGCAGTACCAACTCCCGAGTCCGCAGCACCAGCAGGGACTCCAACACCAGGGTCCTCAGCACCAGACACAGCTCCAACGCCCGGGTCCTCAGCACCAGCAGCAGCTCCAACGCCCGGGTCCGCAGTACCAGCAGCAGCTCCACCGCCCAGGTCCTCAGCACCAGCAGCAGCTCCAACGCCCGGGTCCTCAGCACCAGCAGCAGCGCCAAGGCCCGGGTCTGTAGTACCAGTAGCAGCTCCAACGCCCGGGTCCTCAGCACCAGCAGCAGCTCCAACGCCCGGGTCCGCAGCACCTGCAACAGCTCCAACGCCGGGGTCCGCAGTACCAGCAGCAGCTCCAACGCCCGGGTCCTCAGCACCAGCAGCAGCTCCAACGCCCGGGTCCGCAGCACCAGCAGCAGCTCCAACGCCCGGGTCCGCAGCACCAGCAGCAGCAGGGTCCGTGAGACGAGGCACGCCACTACGAAGTGTGCAACGGCGCTCGTACCACTCACGGATCCGCTCACGAGAGGGGAGCTCCCGACTAGAAGGAGAAGTGCCAGCACCAGTCTCCGTAGCGCGCCTGGTCCCAGAGGTACCTCTCCGGAGGCTGCAGTACTGTAAGTACCACTCACGCAACTGCTCCGAGGAGAGGTCTCGTCCAGGCGTAGGACCCCCTGGCGCAGCACCGCCAGGCACAGCACCCCCAGTGTCCGCACCCCCAGGCTCAGCACCCCAAGAGTCCGCACCCCCAGGCTCAGCACCCCCAGAGTCTGCACCCCCAGGCCCAGCACCCACAGTGTCCCCACCCCCAGGCTCAGCACCCCCAGCGTCCGCACCCCCAGGCTCAGCACCCCCAGCAGGACGAGAGTCGACAGCAACCTCAACAGGCTCGACCGGGTCTACCTGAGACACACCTGAGGGAGCGGCACCCTGAGGGGGAGGGGGTCTACGACAGCAGCTCCTGGCGCGAGGAAGAGAGGCGGGGGTGGGAGCGGGGCAGTGCGGTAGGGGAAGAGGCGGTAGTAGGGGACAGACTCGTCAAAAGTGACGTCCTGAGAGGGCAAGACCCGGCGCGAGGTGGCGTGGTAAAACTGCCAACCAGGCGCGTCCGGAACAAAGCCGAGGAAGACGCAGGGAACAGCACGAGAGGAGAGCTTGTCCACAGACGAATCGCAAACAAAAGCTCGAGATCCCCAGACCCAGAAACGCGACGCATCGCCAACCTCCCCCGTCCACAGCAGTGTGGGCGAGGTCTCCGGCAAGGAGACACGGGGCCAGAGGTTGAGCTGATGCGCAGCGTACCGGACCGCAAACGGCCACAGAAAGTGGGGGGCAGCCGCATGGATCAAGGAGGTACGAGCGACCTCCATGACCAGGCCAATGCGGCGCTCCGCAACCCCATTCTGCTGTGGAGAGGCCGGAAGCGTGAACAACTGCTCAATGCCGTGCTCAGCACAGTAGGCTGCCAAGAGGTCGGAGGAGAACTCACCACCTCTGTCAGAGTGCAAGCGCAGGACAGGAAAGTCCGAGCGGAAACGCTCGCTGAGCTGGAGACGAGCTCTGCGGATCCAAGGGATCAAAACATCAGGGACCTCACCCTTGGTGCGCAAGGGGAAGACCGTGGTGTAGCGCGAGTAGTCGTCAACAACGATCAGGAAGTACCTCTCCTGACCCTGACCACGGACGCGGGCTGGGCCCCACACGTCCATGTGGAGCGTCTGCAAAGGAGCAGTCGTCGGGGGAAACGAGGAGGAGTGAGGAGCGGCGCGCTGCCGCCCCTCGACACAGGGAAGGCAGGGAGGAGCAGGCGAGGGTGGTAGAGGAGGGAGAACCCTGGGAAGACCAGAGACAAGGTACCGGGAGTGCATGGCACGAAGGCGCTGCACAGACGGGTGGCCAAGTCGGTGGTGCCAGAGGACAGTCTCGTGCGCTAGAGAGCGACACGAGCAGGGGGCAGACAGCTGACCTGACGCGGACGCAAACGCAGACGCAGACGCAGCGACCTGAGGGGAGGCAGTAGTCAGTGTGTACAGGTCCGACCCCGGCTGCCGGGTGAAGGTAGCCAAGTGGCGGCCCGTACGAGCACACGTGCAGTGTGTCACACGCTCGTAGGCAGGGGTGAACTGGTGAACACCCCCGTCCTGGAGAGCACAACCTGCCACCAAGTTCGTGGAGAACGAGGGGAGGTGGAGACCTGACAGTGTGCCCGACGGGACCGCAGGACAGGGAAGGACAGTGGAGGAGGTCGCAATGACCGGACCCCCAGAGGGGTCAGCAAGGGAGACAGCAACTGGCCGAGCAAGGGGCTCAAGGGCAGTGCGGTCACGAAAGAAACAGCGAGAGGCACCTGAATCCAGCGTGAAGGTGTGCAGTGCTGCAGTCGACACAGTACCAGGGGGGGCAGACACGCACGCACCTAGAGCAGCAGCCTCACCAGCACCTGGGGTAGCAGACACGTGGGTACCTAGAGCAGCAGACGCACTCGTCCTAATGCCCGGGTCGGGCGGGACACTCAGGTACTCAGAACCCTCTCCACTAGTAGACCTCACATACATGGCAGAGAGAATAGCATCAAAATCTAGAGCATGGATATCAATCCCCTTCTTCAGGAGATCAAGCCAGCGGGGCAGCTCAGTGGCCTGAGGGAACTGAACACGCCAAGCGTCGCTCAGACGAGCGAAGCAACGCTGTGTGGCGTGCGGTCCCCCACACGGCTGGCCAGTGCGGTCACCAGTGCGAATGACGTACGTGCAGCTAAGGCCACCCCCCCCCCCCGTGCTGAGAGTACCACTCACGGACCTCCTGGGGCGAGGGAGTGTGCTGCTGTCCCTGGCCACCGCCAGTGCCGCCACGCCCACCACTCCCGCCACCACCTCCTCGACCACCCGAACCCCTGCCGCCGCCTCGTCCACCGCCACCCCCACTACCTCCTCCGCCCCGGCCACCTCCCCCGCCGCTGCCGCCACCCCCACCACCGCTGCCACCTCCCCCACCCGCGCCACTCCCCCCGCCACCACCTCCCCCACCACCGCCACCCCCGCTGTCACCACCACCGCCCTTGCCCCCCTTGCCCTTGCCGCTGCGGCGTCCGCCCGAAGCAGACGCAGTCCCGACCTTCTCAGCACCAAGGAGGTCGACAGCAGCAGCAGAGGCGACAGAGGGAAGAAGGGGGGAGGGAGAACACCCCTGAAAGAACGGGGTGCGGGGGTCACCGCGAGAGGCACCTACAGCGACTATGCTAGTCTCGGCTGCAAGGAGTTCCTTCTCGAGGAGGGCAATGGTGAGCTCGGTGGGGCAGCGAGCGAGGAAGTGGTCCCTGACTGAGCGCAGCGAGTCAGGGAGGCGCGTGACTAGGTGGTAGAGAGTGATCCAGAGCGGGGGTGGGTTCGTGGCAAGGAACTCATCAGGCATAGCGGCGCGGAAGCGAGCCTCACTAGTGCGGAGGTGGGTAATGAGGTCAGCGACAGTGTGAAAGGAAGCTAAGTCGGGGAACAGGTAGGGAAGAGAGAGACGGCCTAGAGCAGCAGAGGCCGGTGAGGAGTAGCAGGCAACGACAGCAGTGTACAGTGCCTGTGCAGTCTTGTGCTGCCCAAAGTGCTCGCGCTCATCTATCGGCAGAGAGTTGCGGATAGCGAAGCGAGCATGGGCGTCACGAGTCTGCCACATTGAGCGAGCAGTGCTGTCGGCAGTAGCAGCAGGAGCAGTAGCGTGGCCTAGGGCGTGATCGTACAGCGAGATGTCTTCCTTGGCAGTGAGCTGTAGGAAGAGGTGTAGGTCATCAAGCCAGGTGTCGAAGGCTAGTACTGGAGGGCTAGCCATGGTAGCAGCAGTAGTAAAGTAGTAGGAGCAGTAGGTAGGTAGGGCGGCGCGGCTCGGTACAGGTAGGGCGGCGCGGCTTGGTATAGGTAGGGCGGCGTGGCTCGGGTCGGGCGGCGCGGCTCGGTTCGGGCGGCTCGGGTCGGGCGGCGCGGCTCGGGTTGGGCGGCTCGGTTCGGGCGGCTCGGTTCCGTTAGGGCCGGGCTGTTCGGTGCGGGCGGCGCGGTCTAGGTGAGGCCATTCGAGGCGGCTAAGGGGAGCGCGGGGAGCGGGTGGGGTTGGGGACGGGGCCGACGCGGGCCGAAAGGGGTAGGATCGGGGCCGACGCGGTCCGAAAGGGGTAGGGACTGGGCCGACGCGGGCCTCTAGGGGTAGGGACGGGGGCCGACGCGGGCCTCTAGGGGTAGGATCGGGGCCGTCGCGGGCCTCTAGGGGTAGGGACGGGGCCGTCGCGGGCCTCTAGGGGTAAGGACGGGGCCGTCGCGGGCCTCTAGGGGTAGGCTCGGGGCCGACGCGGGCCTCTAGGGTAGGCGCGGGGCCGACGCGGGCCTCTAGGGGACGAGCTCGGGGCCGACGCGGGTCGTTAGGGTTAGGCGCGGGGCCGATTTAGGGCCTCTAGGTGCAACAGCGCGGGGCCTACAGGGCCTCTAGAGGCATGAACGTCGAGGCGCCCTAAGGCAGGTAGGCAGAAAGGAAGGTAGGTAGTGGTGGGCCTTTAGGAAAAACGGTCTTAGGAAGGACCTGCTCTATACCATGTTGAACAAGGAATGAAATGACTAAGAATGAAATGAGTACAAATATGGAAACCTAGAAGTGTGTACCCCCTATAGGCTAACCCACTGTAGCCTAAACAACTACAACAATATATATATTGTTTGACAGTTATGACGGCCAAGATCGAGTATCTGGCCATACGCAAAGGCGTGACGTCGGACGAGCTGGACGCTGGGGCGCGCCAACACCTTGGTGCCGTGGTGGACACGCTGGTAGAGTCGGCGACTCCACGCAAGCACGCTAAAGCAGACCCTACCGCGGACAGAAGTGGCCCAAAGGAAGTCGCGCAGACTCCACCGACGCGTGCACTGGCGGCAGTGCCATCAATCTCTCCCTGTCTTGCACCTCACACACCTGCCGTGAAAGATAGCCAAGTTACTGCCGGAGACGCGACACCTGCTGTGGTCACGCAACAACAGCGCGACCATCTTGCAGTGGCTTTGCGCAACCGCGCTAAGACTCCCGTGCCCGCAGCTCCAGGTAACCCCGGAAGGGTCGCAAGCAGCGGCCGAACGGGAGTTATGTGGAACGCAGAGACGCAGAGGTACTACGTCCGGATCATATCTGCTCGCCGTCAGCAGGTTCGTCTGGGGTCGTACGAGGACAAAGACGAGGCGTCATACGCGTATGCTGCGGGAGCCGTTGTACTTCGCCCGAACTCACGCATCAGCTGCACGGTTGAGCTGTCCGACGGTGACAGGCAGGCTTTAGCCGGCTGCACAGAGGAGATCCTAAGGCTACTCGTGAAGTACAGGCACTGGAACAGATGGAGGGAGTGGAGAGCCGCAATGGCTGGCCTGGACGACGCGCAGCCGGTCGAGACCCGTTCGCGGCGAAAGGGCAGAGTGTCCCGGGCCATTAGTGACGTTGAGGAGGTGGAGGCGATCACGCAGACTACAGAGGACCAGCCTATGGCTGAAGAGCCAGAGGACCGAACAGAGGACTACACGGATGACGATGAGTCCGTTGACGATGATGCTGTGTATGAACCTGGAAACGATACTTTCGACGAAGATGATGGATGGGAGGATGTCAACCGTGCACAGGGTGTTGCATGAAGCACTAAACAGGGTGGCCATTGGACCAGGGGTTGTTCTAGTTGTGTGCTCATACTGATAGGACTTAGACCTGGTGGCGGGTAGCCGAATCTGGAAATGTAAGCATCGCATCTACCACGGTTTTGAACTGTCCATATCCAGGAGATGTAAATATATGAGAAAGAACTCTTAAACGATGCATATCTTGAAACTGTAACCACGGTTGGGGGTAGTAGCAAATGGTGAAAAAAGTGGGTGTATAATTGGAGTAACGCATCTGACAGAAACGTGGACGAGCATCGACGATGTGACAATCCTGGCACGGCGACATGTTACATGTGGAAAGTGTGGCTGACAATTGTCTGTAATCAGACTGGCCACTCTAACCGTGATGTGTGTAGAATTGTGCGCGTGGCCAAGAGCGTGAGGCAACTAGTGCGGTGACAAACTCCGTTATCGAGCATTGCGATGTACACGAGAGTGGTAAGGGGACTGTTGCGAGCGAGGGTAGAACCCCGGGGTGGTTTAGAGGTACGCCATTTCAAACCCGCTGTGTATGCGGTCTGAGACGCTGTCTCCGCTAGAGGTCGATATGACTCCCACCGACGGCGGTCGTCCCAAGCGGGCGAAGACTGCGCCATCATGGTTAGCTGATTCATATGAATACGGGGAGCAGAAGAAGAAAGGACGACCCCTAGCGGAACCCAAGAGGCGTAAAACAAGCACAGGAAAATGTGGCGCGGCGGATAAGAACGCGGGGCATGACGAAGGTAACATTTGTGACGTGACAAGTACGTTGCATTTCATGTACCAGTGCTAATGCTTGTCTGTGGTGATATATGCCGTATGCGCACGCAAACTACACACCCTTCTACGTACCACGGAACTGGTCACAGAGACTCGAGAAGTGCCGCTGCAGATATGCAGCGCCAACGCTGTTGGGGCCGTCGACGCGGAGGCAGCCTGCACGCCCATTGTCGCCAACGCACCGCAAGGGGAGGATACCGAGGCCGTGAAGGAACGCCTGATATACGAGTTAATGGAAGGCGAAGATGAGGACGACGAGGAAGGAAACGGTGGTGGTCAGTCGTCAAGCAACGATCCGTGTGGTGAGAACGGATCAGAGGAGGAGCAGGCCACAAAAGCGCCACATTCGAGGAAGCGGATAGATGCAGCCGATGGCCAAGTCACACGCGAGGAATTTGATGCGTTGCGTGATTCCCAGAATGATACCGCGAAGACACTGGCTCGTCTTGAGTCACACGTACTGACCATCATCCGCCTTGGCGAACGGCGTAAGCGCAAGCGGGCGTTCACAAGTGCCGCAGCTTCGCTCGGCCGGGAAGCTTTGAAGCGGAAACGCCAGTCAGATGATGACGAAGAATCCACGTGCGATGAGGACGACTTGCCGGCGAAAGTGGCACGGCACGCGCGTCACGACAAGTCGCCAGTGCTCCAAACCGCCCTTGACATCCTTCCAGCGGAGAAGGCTTGGAAGGTGAGGCCTCGCATAGTGTGTTCTGCTCACGTCGAGGCACAGTTGTTGGATACACTACATATGTCGTCACCGTTTCCCCCCCCCGTACAACTATTTTCAATGTCGCAGGGTGTTTGCGACATGGTTAAGGATTATCTGTTTGTAGAAGCCCCGAACGAGAAGATGGACTTCTATCCGAGTCGCGACGCCAAAAACGCGGGCCTATGCCATGTCGTGTCCACCATTTCTCCCAAAACTGCGACTCTGGCGTTAGACGCTGATAAGGCTCGACGGCAGGATATAAGACCTTGTCCGAGTACAAAACAGGGTTGGCCGGACGCGCTCGTGGAGTTTTTCTTCCACGAATTGGTCTTTTCCATGACGACGAGGACAGGGCCAGTCCTTGGGCACGTAAGACGGAGCGCACTGGGGAGCGTGCCCGAAAGAGATATTGCGTCCCCGTCCCAGACCATGGTGCGTGTTCGCTTGTCATATGGCCGGAGCGATTATGGCCGCAACTCCTGTGCCGTGCCATAGTGGACCAGACATGTCTTTGAACCCTCCCCTGTTTCCGTACGCGGTATCGTTGTACCCATTTTGCATTCCACGTGCGCAGGGGACCCGACCTTGTGCAAGTGGCACATCAGCAAGGATGGACTGCCATTTGCATCCGGAGCGTTCGCGGCATGTGCCATCGCGGCTTTCGGAGGGAAGCGGAAGGACAAAGAAACAACTATAAAGCTGTACCACCTGTCGTGGCTCGAGCACCTTGTACGTTTACACCGATGCGAACATATGTTGTAGCCACTTTCCTTCAAATCGCCGTTGTAAATGGGCTTCTCCTGCCTTCGTAGATCACGGACGCCATTATCAACTGGGAGAAGCGCAAGGGGAAACTGCACAACTCTCCGTGCGAGAATGGCGCTTCTATGCGGAGGATTCAGAAGCTGGCCTTCGATGCCATTGCGGATGCAGTATGCCGGAATGAAGTGCCCTACGACGAGGAGAAGAAGTCCTGGAAGTGGGGTAGGCATGGGCTCCGCCTTTCATCTTGCGGCCTGGAATGCCTCCTGGAAGATGAAGCAGCCTCCTCCTGGAAGACGAAAAACATGAGTCCTCCGCGTCGGAAGCATCGGATAGTGAAACAGATGGTTGACGTCCTGATAGTGTGTTTAATCCAATTGTGTGTCGTAGACTAGTGTAGTGGTTTAGTGGGGACAGGTTGTGGTTGTTGTTGGTTCAGTGCATTTGTGCAGTAAATCGGTGACATATATGTTGGATATTGCACACCTAGCGGAGACCTTGTGCATGTTGGACACGAGGATGGTTGAAACACAACTCTCTGCATTCCGCGCAGTACGGCGACAAATGCGGCGCTAATTGCGGCGACAAATGCGGCGGGGTAAATAGGAGCCGTTAGATGTCACGCTAGTCTAGCGACGTGGATAGAGGGCAACCGTACAATCTGCCGAACCGCTCATCAATGAAACACGGCTTTTTTTTTTGCCCGACGACGGTGTCTAATGGCTATTTGCCACGTGTGTGATGGATATGGTCACTGGTGTGTTATCGTGAGATCTGCGACGATTACGTGTGAACGTGCGATTGGTATCAGTAGTCCTAGTTGGAAAACCCTATCACCGAACGGACGGCGTGTGTAGGTACAGGTGGATTCCACTACAAATCGTGGGATGACATTTGTATCGGACGGACGGTAGAGATGAGGCGTATGGGTGTGAGATCTGGAGGTTGTCGGCGTATCCGGTGCGGCCATGTGCCGTGCTGCGGTTGGCATAGCGGAGTTGCCACGCGACAATCGCGTGCGTACAACTGTGGCCATCTCGACCGTACATGCGGCACGATACGATTCGTTATGGTTTGGCATCCACCTGTCATAAAGCGTGATTACACGTGTAAATATTATGCTGACGTGGAATAGTGACTTCATGTATGCTAATCGGCAGCTATGTGGCAACACACAGGTGTAACCGTGGAGTGTCCGCATGGTGACGCAAATGTCACTGGCAGCTACATGACGTAGAAGCGACCCACATGACGCCGTGCGGGTTGCGGCCATGTTGCCGGAAACGTTGCGCGAAAACCACTTTCCCTGTAACCCTGACCCAGAAGCCTTTGACCTAGACTTTTTTTTTGCGACACAAAAGTTGCGGAAAAGCAACTTTGAAGCTGCAGGGAAGCAACTTTATGTGCTTGGTTTTTTCGCTTGAAGCGACTCGAAGCGGACCAGCGTCATGGCGACGGGTCAATTCCTCGATAAAAGCACATCCTTTGGCGTGAGCACCGACCTCGTTATAGCAACGGAACCAGGTCGTGATACTTCTCCACTATCCGAAAAATCAGCGCCTGCTACTGAAGATTCTGATCGCACGATCAATCTTATGGCGAAGATGACATCGGGCGACGCGGGAAAATCTTCAGGAACTGGAAAGTCAACGGGCGCAGGAACGGGGGCCGGCAAGGGTGCGGGGACGGGTGGCGGCGCGGGGAAGGGTGTGGGGATGGGTGTTGGCGCAGAGAAGGTTGCGAGGACGGGCGTGGGCGCAGGGGAGGGTGCGGGGTCGGGTGTCGGTGCAGGCAAAGGTGCGGGGACGGGTGTCAGCGCAGGCAAGGGTGCGGGGACGGGTGTTGGCGCAGGCAAGGATGCGGGGATGGGTGGTGGCGTGGGGAAGGGCGCGGGGATGGGTGTCGGCGCAGGGAAGGGTGCGAGGACGGGTGTAGGCGCAGGCAAGGGTGCGGGACGGTTGGCGGCGCGGGGAAAGGCGCGAGGACGGGTGTCGGCGCAGGGAAGGGTGCGGGGACGGGGGTGGGCGCAGGGAAGGGTGCGTTGACAGGTGTCGGCGCAGGTAAGGGTGCGGGGACAGGTGGCGGCGCGGGCAAGGGCGCGGGGACGGGTGTCGGTGTAGGGAAGGGTGCAGGGACGGGTGTCGGCGCAGGCGAGGGTGCGGGGAAGGGTGCGGGGACTGGTGCAGGGACCGGCGGAGATAAAGGAACAGGAACCTGAGAGCGGAAGATCGTGCCAGAAATCGGGACAGGGAAAGGTACGGGGAAGGGCGCGGGGAAAGGTGTAGGGACTGGCATGGGGAAGGGTACGGGGTCGCGCAGTAGAGCAGGTACAGGGACAGGCACGGGGAAAGGTACGGGGACTGGCACAGGGAAAGGTACGGGGACGGGCGTGACAAAAGGTACGGGAACTGGCACGGGGAAGGGTACGGGGACAGGCATGGGAATAGGTATGGGGAAAGGCACCGGGAAAGGTACGGGGATAGGCGCGGGAACAGGTATGGGAACAGGCACGGGGAAAGGTACGGGAACAGGTGCTGGAGCAGGTACCAGGTCTAATGTGGGGAAAGGTAAGGGGACTGGTATGGGAGTGAGTACGAGCACAGGCACAGGGAACGGTACGCAGACAGGTGCGGGAGCTGGTACGGGAATGGGAAAGGGAAGCAGTACAGGCAAGGGGAATGGGAAGGGGGCGGGAAGCTCAAGGGGCTCAGGATTAGGCTTGGGGAAAGGAACAGGTATGGGTGAAGGCTCGGGAACAGGTTCGGGAATGGACGCTGGTTCAAAATCGGGGAGGTCGACAGGGGATGGCAGGGATGTGATCCGCGGAGGGGGAAGCGGCGGAGGGGGTAGCGGAGCGGGTATTGCAGGGGGAAGTGGAGCAGGGAGCGGGGGGGGGATTGGGATGGGAGGCGGAGCAGGGAGCGGAGTGGGGAGTGGTGGGGGGATGGGGATGGGAGGCGAAGGGGCGAGCGGAGGGGCGAGCGAAGGGGCAAGCGGAGGGGCGAGCGGAGGGGCGAGCGGAGGGGGGAATGGAGGGGAAAGCGGAGAGGGGAGCAGTGGGGGGAGTGACATGAAGAGCGGAGGGGGGAGTGACATGGGGAGTGGAAGGGGGAGTGACACGGGGAGCGGAGGGGGGATTGACATGGGAAATGGACTGAAGAGTGACCCGGGAAGTGGATGGGGGGGCGACACAGAAAGTGGAGGAAAGAGTGACATGGGAGCCAAAGGGGGAAGTGACACGGGAAGCGGAGGGGGAAGTGACACGGGAAGCAGAGGGGAAAGTGACACGGGAAGCGGACTGAAGAGTGACCTGGGAAGCAGATGGGGGAGTGACACGGGAAGCACAGGGGGGAGTGACACGCGAAGCGGAGGAAAGAGTGATACAGGAAGTGGGTAGGGGAGTGACTGGATGGGTGGAAGGGGAAGTGAGACGGAGGGTGGAGGAGGCACTGGAGGGCACGCGGGAAGTGGGGGTGGGGGAAGCCTGACCGACAGCACTGAAGGGCAAGCGAGCGGAGGGCAAGTAAGTGGAGGGCAAGTGAGTGGAGGGAAAGCGAGTGGAGGGCAAGCGAGTGGAGGGCAAGTGAGTGGAGGGCAAGCAAGTGGAGGGCAAGCGAGTGGAGGGCAAGCGAGTGGAGGGCAAGCGAGTGGAGGGGGGGGGGAGTAAGAATGAAGGCGGTGCACCGGGCTCCGGAGGCGAAGAGTCAGGTGGAGCTTCAGGCGGAGTAGGTGGAGCATCAGGCGGAGCGTTAGGTGGAGAATCAGGTGGAGCTTCAGGCGGAGCTTTAGGTGGAGTGTCAGGTGGAACTTTGGGTGGAGCTCCAGGTGGAGCTTCAGGTGGTGCAGCAGACTCTGGAGGCGGGGCGCCAGGCGAAGTGTCAGGTGGCGGGTCAGCTGGATGGTCAGGTGGAGGGTCAGGCAGAGGGTCAGGGGGATGGCTAGGTAGAAAGTCAGGTGGTGCATCAGGTGGAGCGTCAGGAGGAGCATCGGGGTCCAATTTGACAGCGGAGCAGCAGGCAACGCTGGCGAAAGTGAACGAGGTTCTGGCGTTTCTGTACGAGCGGAAATTCACAGGAATTGCGACGGGAATCAGAATGAGCGGTGAGTTACAACTTCTATCATTTTTTTGGGTGTATAAATATCGCATTGCACTTCTATTGCTCATGTCGGGTACTGCTTCTCATTTGCTGAACCCATGTGGTACTATACTTCAGATTCATTTTTTTGTTTGTTTGTGCAAATGACGTCATCTTAAGCATCCACGTTCTGTTCTGTGTATCCCCAGGTATGAATGAGACACTGATGAATACACTCCTCACCAAGAACATTACGATCTTTGCGCCAACCAATGGGGCATATTTCCGCATGCCCAATAATTCGCGCTTTGGAGGGCTGCAGAGGAAGAAGAATGTTCTATGGCAGGTGATAGCCTATCACGTGCTGCCACGTCAGATGAACTCAACGACATCAAGGCCCTTGGGAATGGATTCTCGGTAAGTCGAACATTTTTTCCTTCTTTTTTCCTACATAATCTTCTGATACGCCCTCCTTCTCCCACCTTGATCTCCACTTCTCCTCGTCCCCAATCACATCCTCCATACACTTATCTCCGCTTTGATCCCTCTACCCTGTAACGTTGTTCACAGATGGAAACTCTCAATAAGCTACCACTGAAGAAGAATCAAACGGACTATTGGCTGAGGCTTTTCAGAACCAATGACACAGATGGCGCGCGCGTTCTGATCGGCAACATGTATTCGAGCCCATCGATTGTTGTCCACGCGGTCGATACCGTGCTGCTCCCATTCCGGGTCAGGAACTACGGCACGTGGATTCCGGTTTAATAAATGCAGTGTTCCTGTACCGATGGTCAAGACTCAATAACAGCCGCACGTGGACTATGGCGTAATAAGAGCATTGCTGTACTGAAGGGTGATACAATCGTGGTGGGGGGAGCGTAGACAATGTTCTTGTAGTGAAGGCCACAAACGAATCTTGGTCTGTTCGGGACACGCGGACTAGACTCCTGTGTGATAAAGGGGAGGGACCTTCCTTTCTGACAGCGGCGCTATTGTGGTGATGGTGAGGGCAAATCTCGTGTGGTGAATGCAATGGTCTTGTAGTGAAGGCAATACGTACGCTTGTATGTACGGTAGTAGCGAGTTAGTCAACAACGGCACGTTGTATTATGCTATCATGCCATGTGTCTATTCTACTCACTCCTACATCGCAGCAGTACACCGGACAAATGGGCGTACAGGTACACGTTATCACAGCGCTGGCTCTACAGATTCAGCTGCACATCACTCAGCCACACATCGAAGTCAAGCCCCCGACCCCCCACATCGAAGCGCAGCACAAACGCAGATGGCGTAGGAGAAGCCATAGGGAGCGGCTACAGGCGAGAGGACTGTCGAGACGAGAATCCAGGAGACTAGGACGAAACAGCAGTAGGATCGCCTAGGAACGGCGGCTCGAGCTGACACGAGGGAGTAGGTATGTGGGGAGAGCGGCGGCTCGGACAGTAGGAACAAGGAGAGAGCGGCGGCGTGGGCAGTGGCACTGTGAGCAGTGGCGGCGGCACGGGCGACAGCAGAGACGGTAGCCTAGGGAGCGGCGGCGGCGGCATCCTAGGCAGGAGTGGCAGCGGCACAGGCAGCGGTAGCGGCGGCCTAGGCAGCAGCGGCGGTGGCGGCCTAGGTAGTAGTGGTGTTGGTGGCCTAGGCAGTAGCTGTGACGGTGGCCTAGGTAGCAGTGGTGTTGGTGGCCTAGGCAGTAGCTGTGACGGTGGCCTAGGTAGCAGTGGTGTTGGTGGCCTAGGCAGTAGCTGTGACGGTGGCCTAGGTAGCAGTGGCTACAGTGGCCTAGGCAGCACTGGCGGCGGCGGCGGCCTAGGCAGCAGTGGTGGCGGCGGCGCTGCTGCTGCTCGCACGAATGAGGCAGAGGGGCACGCTGCGCGACGGGTCAGCAGGGGGTGCTGGACGACGGGGTAGTCCATATTTGTGCTAGTTGTGTGTAAGCTATAGTGGGGTAGCCCATGTGGGGTACAACCCAACATTAGGGTTAGTACTTGTACCCACAACTCATTCAATGCAATCCATTCCCTGCTTGCTATCTTGACATGGTTTCAGAGTAGTAGGTCCGTAGGACCGTTTTTTTTTTTTTTTTTTTTTTTTTTTTTTTTTTTTTTTTTCCGGGCCCACCATACTTAGCGACCGACCGCGGTTACCGCGTTACCCCACTACCCTGCGTCGCGCTGCCCCGCGCACACCCTGCCTTGCCCCGCGTCGCGCTGCCTAGCACACGCCCTGCCCTGCCCTGCCCTGCCTCGCGTCACCCTGCGCCAGCGCCCTGCCCTGCGCCAGCGCCCTGCCCTGCGCCAGCGCCCTGCCCTGCGCCGGCGCCCTGTCCTGCCCCGACGCCCTGCCCTGCGCCAGCGCCCTGCCCTGCGCCAGCGCCCTGCCTTGCGCCAATGCCCTAGCCTGCGCTGGCGCCCTGGCCTGCGCCAGCGCCCTGCCCTGCGCCGTGCCCTGCCCTGCGCCGGCGCCCTGCCCTGCGCCACCGCCTTGCCCTGCGCCTGCGCCCTGCCCTACGCCCGCGCTGGTGCCCTGCGCGTCGCGCCCTACACAGCCCGCGCGTCGCACGCTTCTGCCCCGCGCGTCACGCCCTACGGCAGCCCGCAAGTCGCGCGCTGCTGCCCTGCGCGTCGCGCTCTGCTGCAGCCCGCGCGTCACGCTCTGCTGCCCTGCGCGTCGCGCCCTGCTGCCCTGCATAGCGCGTGCCCTGCTGCCCGCGCCGCCCAGGTCGAGCCGAGCCGCCCTACCCGACCCGATCCGCCCTGCTACTCGTGCTACTGCTGCTGCTGGTGGAGGTGCTGCTAGGAGTGCTGGAGGTGATGCAACCTAGCTTCACCGAGCCGCTCTGCTGCTCTTACTGCTGCTGCTACTCCTCGTGCTACTGCCTTCACTCCATACTGCCCTAGAGGTCGCGCTCCTCCTAGCTTGCCCACCATGACTTCATTCTGTAGTAGCGGTGGGAGTGGTGACAGCGGTGGTGGCAGCAGTGGGAGTGGTGGCGGCCGTAGTAGCAGTCACTGTGGCGCTGTTAGGTGCGGAGGTTCTGGCGGTGGCCAGATGCAGCTACGGCAGCGTCCGACCCTTACGTCCTAGCAGCTTTGTGAGTGGTTTTACCAGCGTGGGACGTCTCCGAGTCCTGGTCGCTGCCCGTACGTCATTCGCACAGGTCGTCGAGCTGGTGAGACCTGTGGGACACCTGGTCACACACAGTCCCGCTGCTTCGCCTGTTTGAGTGATGCATGGCACGAAGAGTTTGGCGACGAGGCTGAGATCCCCCACTGGCTTGAGCTGCTTAGATCGGGCGTTGATGTCTTTGCTTTAGACTATGACGCCATCCTTACTGCTATGTATGCTTTGCCTGGTGGTGCTGAGGGTGACTGTTACCTGTGTGTGCAGTACGACCCCGGTATAGAGGTTGCTGCTCTAGGTGCTAGTGAGGCTGCTGCCTTAGGTGCTAGCGAGTCTGTCAGATTTATATGACATAGTTGTTGTAGGCTATAGTGGGGTAGCACATATGGGGTACCACTTTCTAGGGTTTGTACTTGTACCCAACTTTCCCTTAGTCAATTCATTCTCGTTCATTTTCTCATGGTATCGAGCAGGTTCCCCTGTGGGAACTGTTCCTAGGGCCCACCACCTTTTTTTTTCCTGCCCGGAGCGCGCTCTACTCTGCCCGAGTCGCGCTCCCCTCTTTCGATCCTGTCGTGCCGCCTTAGCGGCCCCGTCGCGTCGCGCTTGCGGCCCCGTCGCATCGCGCTTGCGGCCCCGTCGCGTCGCCCTCGCGGCCCCGTCACGTCGCGCCGCCCTAGCGGCCGCGTCGCGCCGCCCTCGCGGCCCCGATCCGCCGCCCTCGCGACTCCGTCGCGTCGCGCCACCCTCGCGACCCGTTCGCGCTGCCATCGCGGCCCTTTCGTGCCGCCCTCGCGGCCTCTTCAAGCCGCCCTCGCGACCCCCCTCCTAGCCGCCCTAGCGGCCCCGTCGCCTACCCCTGCGGCCCCGGCGCCGCCCTTCCCGGCCCCGGCGCCGCCCTTCCTGGCCCCGGCGCCGCCTCTGTTGGCCCCGTCGCCTACCCTGCTGGCCCCGTCGCCTACCCTGCGGCCCCGGCGCTACCCTGCGGGGCCCCGGCGCCGCCTCTGGTGGCCCCGTCGCCTACCCTGCGGCCTCGGCGCCGCCTCTGCTGGCCCCGTCGCCTACCCTGCGGCCTCGGCGCCGCCTCTGCTGGCCCCGTCGCCTACCCTGCGGCCCCGTCACCTACCCTGCAGCCCCGGCGCTACCCTTCCCGGCCCCGTCGCCACCTCTACCGGCCCCGCCGCCGTCCCCATGCGGCCACGCCGTCACCACCGAGCCGCCGGCGCCGCCGAGCTACTGCCGAGCCGCCCGAGCCACCTGAGCCGCCCGAGCCGCCGCGCCACCTGAACCGCCCGAGCCGCCGGGTCGCCGAGCTGCCGAGCCGCCGTACCGCCGAGCCGCCAGAGCCGACGAGTTGCCGAGCCGCCGTTGCTACCGAGCCGCCGTACCGCCGAGTCGCCCGAGCCGCCAGAGCCGCCGAGTCGCCGAGCTGCATTTCGTACTGAGCCGCCGAGCCAGCGAGCCGCCCGAGCCGCCCTGTCCAGTAAGAGCAGCGCCTCTATCACTGCACTGCCCTTACCGTACTGTTCGCGC